TTTTTTTTTTTTTTTTTTTTACAAAAAGAGCCACTTTTATGGTTCCTCGTTTCAGGGTGTAATGATGTCTAAGAAAACAAAAAAACGAAAGGCACATATTGAGAAATGTACCCTACCCTCGGGAGGGCAGTTTTCTCAATGGAAAATGGTTTCCCGCCCAAACGGAAAGGGCCAAAGCATACGACAAAACGGATTTCACGTCAAAGAAAAAATGTACAAAACGACCAAATCTAATAGGTTATTCTCCTGTATTTCGGTACCCTTAGATTCTCAATACATCAACGGCAGAGCTCCGTCCCACCATGCCACACGTGATAGAAAGCTCAGTGTTGAGAAAAACTCAACTTCGGCGGTGGGACTTCACCCCTGGGCCATGGTCCCACTAGCGAAGGGGATAGGATAGAAATCCTGAATCTGGCTATGTTTAATGCAGAGATACAGAAACGCAGTTCTATCTCGATTTCCTTCTCCTGTCCTCAAACGCGTCCAGATTCAGGCATTCTAATCCGATGCTCTTTGCTGATGGGACCACGGCCCTGGTGGGCCTCCGACCTTAGGATGCCCAAAAGAAAACAAACGATTTTTTTTTATTTTTTTTCAAGCTGGGGCCAGTCAGTTCAACGATGATAGCTCAAGGCTGTCCCCCTTAATTCAGACATTATTTTTTTCACTCTGTTCATCTGAGTGACTGGATTCGAACTTTCGTCTGCATTTCAACAGTTCGTCGGTGTACCAACTGAGCTAGGCTCCTCGGTAGAAACGATATTTTAGAACCTTGGGAAAACTGCCAGTTTTCCCCATTTTCCCAACACTGGCCGAGGCACTACAGGCGCTGGAATACCTTTCTCGGCGTTTTGGCTAAGATCAAGTGTTCGGACCACACACACACATGACAACGCACACACACAAAAAAAAAAAAACGAACAAACAAAAAACAAAACCAGGCGCGCTGGAAGCATCAACTGTCGAAGATCGGGCCTCGCTGCACTACTCTTGAAAGGTGCAAAACGAGAGTGAATCTTCCGCTAGAACATGGAAAGATACAGCGACATGATTTTTGTCTTTTGTGCATTTCAAGAGTAGTGCAGGGAGGCCCATCTTCTCGCACACCGCGCGGACTCAGGGCATCGCCACACCACTCTCGAAATGTGCAAAAGGAGAATGAACTTCCTGCTAGAACATGGCCAGATGCACCCGCCACATTTTTGTCTTTTCCACGTTTCGAGAGTGGTGTGGCGAGGCCCTCACCCCTTGATTTCACCAGGGGGCGTAAACCAGATGAAGAAAGATGGTCCTTGACTGAATAGAATAGGAAAAAGTTCATTGTTGTGCTCCAATCATTCTGCTGTCGTTTCCTCGGGGCGTCCATCCTCGCCAACCATGTTTTCTGTCATGGTCCGTCAGCGCCAGCCGATATGCCGTGCGGCGCTGGTGTCGATCAACCACCACACAGCAACGTATAATAGCGGCCCTGATGGCCTTCCCTTCGCCATCTCCCCTCATCGGTGTATGCAGCTCCCTCGGCGGATGACCTGTTTGCCTCCCCAGACGGCAGCATCACTGGAGGCATTGGCTACTCTTTAGCATACGATCCTGGAAGCCGACTGAGAAGGTGCGATGGCTTTTCTTTTTCCTCTGTCTCCGTCTTTGTATCCCTCGTTCTCGTGCACCCCATCCTGTCTTTCTTTGTGTGCGTACTCACGCCTCTCTCTCTCTCTCTCTCTCTCTCTCTCTCTCTCTCTCTCTCTCTCTCTCTCTCTCTCTCTCTCTCTCTCTCTCTCTCCCTGTGAGTGGCCCTAATAGCACTACTCGCAATCCGCCAACATTACGAACGCATGTGTACAAATGTGAGTCCATATGCACTCAAAATGCTGGCGAATGGCGAGTAGTGCAACTAGGCCCTCTCTCTCTCGCCACTCTGTCATGGAAACTTCGA